GGAGGAGCGTACGGAGGGATCTGATCGGCATCCAGCCAACCCCTATCGACCCTCAAGATTTCCTGCTGCGCCGCCCACCTACCAGCCTCGACTGTCAGCACGTGCAGCCCTGCCAAATCTCTGGCAGCAGCAGCCGTAGACGGATGACATCCCGCCCCCTGCTTCGCAAACGAATCGGCCGACTCATTCGCGGAACGGTCCCAGGCCGTGGTACGGCCTGCTTCTACATCGGTTTGCGTGCAATGTGCTTTCGTCTTGTGCGCACGCAGCATGCCGTCATCGTCAAAAACGTGCCACACGCGTTGCCACAAATGCGCGTTCGAGCACTGCGACGAAACCGAAAAAACAGGATCACTCAAGCACTGTATGGTACAATCGACATAAACTTCTACAGGCCCGAAGGCGCAAGAAGTAAGCATGAAAATCGCATAGTCTTCAGCGTCGTGCGAAGATTGCTGCGGACAGATATCTGCGGGGACCGCCCCATAACCAGCAGAAATCGTACGACCAAAACGGTCGACCATCACCAGCGCCCAACCCGCCCTCCTAAGAACCGGAATCTCCGGGTGAAATGCGCTCCCATCCGAAAAAATGACGCCGGTCATCCAGCCGGCCGCCGGTCGATTAACCCAGTGTATGCCAGCATCAGTGGACAGCAAAGGCTTCGGAGGCAAATCACGGGGATCAGGAAAAATACCACATGCAAAATTGGTTAAAACCTGTCCTAAATCATGCGCGGTTCGAGCCGTCCGCAAAAGCAGATCGGAACAATAGTGCCTGCGATCGGGCGCCCACGCGGCGCACCGGAACCTGCGATGAAAAAGCGTGCCCTTCTCTTCACCGCATAGCCAGCAGATGTTGGAGTTCGCCAGCCGGTGCTGGTGCAAGCGATCCTGCGCCCAGACCTCCATCGACACGAGCCCACGCAAAGTGTGCATGTGTCGCTCCGTCCACCCCTCCGAAGGCTTCCTATCCAAGAGCGCGCGGAGAGGCTCCCAGAAAATGGGCCGCAACCATGACGAGGAGGAGCTCCTCGTAGACAGCGCCTTCACGTCGGAGGTGTCGAGGGCAGCCTGCCTCGCAAGCTCACGAACCTGGATCGGCAAAATCTGCAGAAAATCGATGTCCAGGCCCATGGCGGTGCGAACCAATCGACACGACAAGGGCCACCAGCCGAGGTACTGGAAGGTCAGGGCGACAACGTGCGCGGGCGACGTGGCGTGAACCCACGGTTTCCTGGAGGCTCCTAGTTGGTCGGATGCCGCCGCGAAAGTCTGCTGAAGCACTGACAATTTGGGGACCCCCTCCCAAACCGCCCTAGCCCATTGGAAAACCACACTCGACGGGTAAATGGGGAGCGGGTCCACCCCCCGACCCTCCTTGGACGACCGGAATTTCAGCCCGAGGGCTGTGCTCCCCTTGTCCTTGTACAGGGACCGGACGGCTGCCAGCCGCAGACAATGAAGCTGGCGAGGCGCGATGCCCACCACGGCCGCCCCCCAGAGCGCGCCCGACTGCGGCCCAGCACGATGGACGTGAACGACCGAGGCCCCCGCTTTCCTGAGTCGCCGTAGGCGGCGCGCCTGCTTGAGGCACTTGCGCACGCGTTTGTTGGCCGTGGCAGTGCGGCGCAACCTAGTGGCGACAACGTCGCAACCTAAGGAGCGGGCTGAAGCTTTCGGCGAAACACGGTGTCTGGCCCACCGCGAGCGCAGCATGTCCGACAGCTCCGCGCACGACGCCAAGAAGAATGACTTCCCCTCCGATAAGACGAGCTCCAGTCGCCGAAAACCGGAAATCAGCTTGTCCCCAACTTGGCCCAAATGCTCGTGTACGTGCTTCACCGTCCCTAGCCCCTGCGCCGAAACATCATGGATCACGTTGCGAATGTAAACGGAAGGATGCGCCGCAGAAATATCCGAAAACAAGCGCCACAACAGAACCTTCACAAGCGCTGTCGCAAGTGAGCATCCGGCCAAAATGGTCCCATGCGCACAGAATATGTTCCCAATTACGCTCTGAAAACAAATTGCCCTCGCGCCGGAGTACAACCCGCAAGCCGCTCGCAGGAGCCGCAACTTGAAGCCCATCGCCGCGCCTTCTCGCATAAGCACGCCGTGCGAAACACGCTCATAACATTTATTCAAATCCGTAAACAAAGAACCGCCTTCCATCGACGAAAGAGAACTAGAATAAGTGAGTAAGTTGTGACGCCATCCTGCACGTTCGCACTCCCTGTCCTTCGTGCCCCAGCAGAAGCTCGACTTGTGCATCCGTTCCCACTCGATGGCCTGCCGTTGTCTCATCCTCGCCAAGACCCGCAAAAGAGAACATATATGAGCTATTGGACGTAGCCCCCCATCAGGTTTACCTATGAACACGATCAGCGTCGCCCACCTCAATGGTAAAATGGGGGACTCCTCCCAAATCATAAGCACATCAATTAGACGCACAAGGTAGGAGTCGTCCAACAACAACCACGAGCGAGGGTTAACGCAATCGCAGCCCAATCCAAGATTGTGTCGAAAACGTCCCAAGGCCCACTTAAGTAGAGGCAGCTCCGGCCGGTCCAGGATGGCCCCCGACGCCTGGATGCCAGCTGGGAAATCGAAGACTTAGCATCCAGCCAATAAGCCTCCCACTCCTTCTGCAGAGCTGCTACTGCTACATCTCCTTGAAGCGGATACCCGGATTTCCCCAGCGGTCCAACCACGGGCACAGAGTCACGTGCATACGCATGGGCTGCGGCACCACCGTTCGAAACAGCGTTCTTGGCCCACCGAGTCCATCGCCTCCACGCGTCCAAAAACTCTGTTCCCCCAGCAATCGCAACTTGATGCACAAATGCCAGCGTCAGCCCAGCCTCTTGGAACTCCGACCCCAATGCGTCATCTGACAGCGTCCCCAAGGCATCGACGAGCCGCAACACCTCGGCAGGCGCCCCGCTCTCTCGGCGCGAGCCGTCCGTCGGGACCGCCCGACACAAATCTTCACCATCTACGCCTAAACGTAAGCCTCCAGCCGCAAGCCACGCGGACTTCACCCTAGATTGTTAGATAACGTAGAATACAGTTGTCGCCAAGCCCGGGACTGCGCCGTACAATGTGCATCCCACTGCCTCCGAATCGTCTCCGAGAGAGGGACCGTCCGTGTCGCAAGCCCCCTGCTCCTCCCGACGTACTGCTGCTGTCCCCTTCCTACGATATCAAATTGCCAGCAAAGCTCCAACTCCATGTTCGTCAGCCACTCCCCCCAAACATCCTCCAGGCCTAGCTGAAATGGAACTTCACCTGCCTCCCAACCCCAATCTACACGCAGTGGTTGCCGGTGGCAACCAATGTTCGGAGAAGTCGGAAAAGGCTTCCAACGCGCCCGTACCTGAACAGGAAGATCCATGCTAACGCCTTTGAGGACTAACTCAACGGGAGAATGTGGGGAAACTGGCGCCTCCGATAATACCCTGACGCTCTCCACACACGTGTCCAGCCCACGACTCACCAGGAAAAAGTCGATCACCCGCGGAGGCCCGTTCGAAGGGTGGCAAGTCGGCTCCCTGGTCGCTACCACTGCGGCCCCCGTACCTGTACACCAATGCGCTAAGCCAGGATCGCCGGCAGCCATATTGAATTCCCTGTGATAATCCACGGAACGTCGAGGTGTTGCACAAAGGACCCCAGCTTCCGCAACAACGCCAAATTGTTCCTGGTGCACTCCTCCCCGTCGTAGCCATAAAGTGAAATAACAATGATCCCACGTGGAACGACAGCAAGCGCACGGGTGGCAACAACACGCCCAGGAAATCCACGGCCTAAATATTCACGGAGATTGGGCACAGCACGCTGGTTCACGTAAGCGGCCGATCCCACCAAGACGCCTGAACTCACTGCGCACACATGGTCCCCAGTGCGGACACCTGGAACAAGGCGAGCAGCAACTCCACGTTGACGGAACCAGGCCTCAGCTGACTGCACCTCCTCCTCCTCCTCCTCCTCCTCCGCCTCCTCCTCCTCCTCCTCCTCCTCCTCCTCCTCCTGCTCCTGTTCCTGCTCCTGCTCCTGCTCCTGCTCCTGCTCCGGCTCCTCCTCCTCCTCCTAATCCTCCTCCTCCTCCTCCTCCGCCTCCTCCTCCTCCTCCTCCTCCTCCGCCTCCTCCTCCTCCTCCTTTTTCTCCCTCCTCCTCCCTCCTCCCCCTCCCTGGGGCCGCTGGCGGTACGCGTACGCACCCGCTGGGACCTACATTGCGGCCACCCTGTGGGAGAGCGGTGCGTGTAATGCGCGGGCTTTCCTGGGCTCACAATCGGCACTCGGCAAAATGCGGACGCGCCTGACTTGGCCTGAACCTGATCCAGTTTCCGGAACCATCGCCAGGAGCACCGAGATCCCTGACGCCGGTCCTTTGCTCGAGTCTCTCGTCCTCCACCAGAAATTACAACAGTAAGGCCAGCGCGCTCCCCATCCCCATTCATCATCCGAACATGTCTGATTCGTGGAAAAATGTCTTGATTGATGACTCGATCGATTCATTGGTTCGTTGATCGATTGATCAGCTGCGTGTGTACATTGGCGTCAAACTTTCGGTGCGCCCCCCATTGCCGCGCGGCGGCTTCCGCGCTAAGGGGGTCCCCCTGAAATCCGACCTCGCGAACAAAGTGGAACAACGTGCAAAAGAAAATCCTGGGACCCCAGACCCCAATTTTCTGTGGCATACTTCTCCAACTGGATCGATCCGTGAGGCCCCCGCACCCGAACTCTGGGCGAAGAGGCCCCAGTGTGAAAAACCTGCGGCGCACAGACCTCAGGGCTCCCCCGCCTTTCTCCGAAGAAAAAAAAGCTGCATAAACAGACACTTTCGGAGAACCGCGCAGCCTTCGTAGGTCGGCGCTGGGCAGCCCCAGGCCAACGCACTTCGCGCACCAGGGAGGGGGGGGTCCAGCTCCGACCGAAAACAGCCGCGCGGACCTCCAAATAAACATCTTCATGCCGCTTTGAGCTCTTCTACTCTCAGCTGGCAACTGGCCACTGCGGATCAGCGGGCCCGTCAGCTGGCGGCGGCACCTCAGATGGTCCTAAATGACACCTCCGCGCCCGACGGCGGCACCCGCGGGAATCGCTCACATGGTTACGTAATAACCGACACATGACAAACAGCATGACTGCCCATGTTGGACACAAGTTGGCAACTCTCTGTCGCTGTGTGATCCCCCAGACAGTGCTTGCACTCAGGAGGTTCTCCCTCTCTTCTGAACCTCCCTTCAGAAGCAAATGTGCCCTGGTGCCGCTTCCACCCCCTGCGTGGCCGCCAGACGCAGCCCGTCACCGCCGCCGCCGCTAGGCCCCAGCGCCGCCCCGGCCAGCTTGTAGTCGCCCGTCGCCGCCCGTCGCGGCCGTCGCCGCTGGGCGTTGGTGGCGGTCCGACTGGCTCGTCACCGCCCGTCGCCGCGTTGCACTCGCGTTGCATTACACTGCCTCGCATTGTTTTGCATTGCTTCGCGCTGCTTCGAATTGCTCTGCAATGCTTTGCGTTTCTTTGTAGTGCGTTGCATTGTGCTGCATTGCGTTTGCGCTGGTTTGCAATGATTTGCTAAGCATTGCATTGATGTTGATGTGCGTTTGCTGCGCATTGTGTTCCAATACATCGACTGCACTACATGGGTTGCACCATCTAGTTTGTACCACATCGATTGCACCACACTGGTTCTCGGCTCTTTAAATTTATCTGCCACCACCACCACCCCAGGATTATCCCCCCGTTTCTGGTGGATTGCAAGGTACATGCGATGTTGCCTCATCGTCCGTCCGAAGTATGAACTCATACCATCCCAACCAAGTCAGGATTGACCCCCTTTCCACCATCCTTCGCAAAACATTATGCACGCGCACGCGTTTATCAAAAACCACGAGTTGTTAATGATCCCGTGCACAAAATGGGAGGAAGTGCGTGCGCGCGCGTCGTCGCGCGCGCATGCCACGATTCTTTTGAAAGAATCAGATGGGCTTCAAAACCTAAAATGCCAGAAACACACACACATATATATATATACAAACATAAAAACATACATACACACAGACATACATACATACATACATACATACATACATACATACATGCATACATACATGTACGTGTACATATACCTATACACATACACATTAAAATATAAATTAAGATTTAAGCGTGTCTGCGAAGCCTTGAAAAAAAACACCAGTTTTCAACATGTTCATCAGATTGGACCAAGCGGGTCTATCGCGCGAGAATGTCGACATCACTTGAACGCCATTGCGCGGGTGCTGTGGGGGGCACGATACCTATCAAATAATACCAGGCATGCCGTTCGCGCGTCGGCCGCACGCGCATGCCGAACTCGTTCCAGAACCTTCATCACCGACGCGATGACACCAGCGTCGTCATCGGCGTGATCAGCATTGGCGCCGTCATTGGCCTTGCCGTCGTCATCGTCATCATCGTCACCATTATCGCTACGATCATCATAGTGTGTACGTTGTCGACGTCGCCATGATACCGCGCCCGCCCAAGTCACCGACTCACACTGAAGTGCCCGCGCATCAGCGCGGCCTGCGAGACGCGCTAGGAATTGCCCAGCGGTCCGCGCCACCGCGGTCGCGTCGGTCGCGCCTAACTAAGTGACCGCTGTGGGCACGAGCATGCGCGGGCTAGCGCGGCCGCAAAGACGCATGGGTTTTGCAAACAAAATTGCGGGTGGGTGGGTCGGTGATTGCGCGAGCCATGGAGTTGACAACTCCACGTTGATCAAAACTAATTGCACCGCATAGCTTGCGAGAAATCACTGTTGGGATCCACGCTGGCTAACAGTAAGTACGAGCCAAGTCTTCATCGCAGAGCGTGGGATGGTGACGGGAAGAGGTATGCCACTCCTTGGCAAAAGCCTTGCCCCGATTTGCGGCCGCCGCGATCGCCGCGGCGACATTCAAAACCGACCCAGAGGTTTGGTTCGGGGTCGGATATCACGCGATGATGACAGGCGGGGTGCCAGGATCGGAAGTGGGAGTGCGATTTCGGCGGCCTTCGAGGCTGGCGCTCGAGCGTGGGCCGATCCCAAGAATCTCACCACCATATCGCAGCACCAATTCGACAAGCCTGCCTCCTCTGAAATCTGACGTTGCGGAAAAATTGTAACACCGCCAATTATCCCAACTGGAGCCCCAGACCCTATCTTCCTGCGCCATTTTTCGACCCAGATCGATCTGTAAGGGCCCCAGGGCCCTGGGATTGGCGAAAACGCCCAGAACGAAAAGAAGTACAGCGCCCAGATCTGCGGGTCACCCCCGTGGTGGCCGGGGGTGGCGGTGTCATTTTGTGATGAAACAATGGCAAACACTCAAACGTAGAGGGAGAAGGAACGGGGACTGGCAAGGAGATGAAGGCGCGTACGGGTGCGGGCTGTCGGACCCCGAGGGCTGCTCCCGTTCGAGCGGGGACCCCCATCCGGCATCACACCCGTAGCCCCCATGGAGCTCCACCCCGAGAACAGAGGCCACCCAAATGGTGTCCGAGCAAATGGGGTCGGAGGGTCGCGCCGCATCGCCAATGCATCGCCGATGCATCGTCGATGCATCGGCGACGTCAGCGATGCATCGGCGCCGTCGGCGTGGAGAAGTAAATCGGGCTCCACATCGAGCCGCATCGTCGACGCATCGGCGACGCAGCGCGACCCTCCGACCCCATCTACTTGGTACCTACTGGGAAGCCTGGAGAGAAACCTGCTAGTCGCATAGGTATGGCTTATGTGTACTACGCGTGAGAGTGGTTTGAAAAAATGGGTTCCGCCCGACTAGCGCCGATTAGTGTCTACAAATGTCACCATTAGCGCTTACTAGCGCCTTGTAGCGTCTAGCAGAGCCTATTGGCGCCTGTTAGTGTCCACTGGCGCCTACCAGCGCCAGTTCGCAACCACCAACAAGCAGTAATGAACGCCATTGGCCCGGGAAGACATCCACTCATGCTTAAAATGACTCTCTAGACGAGCGCTTTCCACTTCTCGCAAGGTGACTACTCGCAAATGGCCTGGATCCGCCGCGGGGGATCCTACTACAAAGTCGATCGCAGCCGACGTCTGTCTTTCGGACGTTTGCGAGTAGGCACTTTGCGAGTAGTGGAACGCGCACGGTGACTCTCACGCATAACACACCTCTTACGGGTGCTAGCTGTCAGCTCGTGACTTTGGGGTCGCGGCCACCTCTACCGGCCCACCGCCAGCCGCGCGGCCCGCGAGCGCACCGCGGAGGCCGTCCAGCAGCTGCGCGGGCGCCGGGCCGTCGGCGCCGCTCTGTGGTGGCAGCCGCACCTGCACCCAGCTGGGCCCGCTCGGCCCCTGCGGCCCCCGGTCTCCTGGCGGTCCTGGAGGATCATCATCATCATCATCATCATCATCATCATCATCATCATCATCATCATCATCATCATCATCATCATCATCTTCATCATCATCATCATCATCATCATCATCATCATCATCATCATCATCATCATCATCATCATCATCATCATCATCATCTTCATGATCGTCATCATCATCATCATCATCATCATCATCATCATCATCATCATCATCATCCTCATGCTCATGCTCATTCTCATCATCATCCTCATCATCAGCATCAACATCCTCATAATTATCGTTATCATCATCATCATGAACACCATCATCATCATCATCATCATCATCATCATCATCAGTATCATCACCGCCATAACCATGATCATCACCATCATCATCATCATCATCATCATCATCATCATCATTATCATCATCATCATTATCATCGTCCTCATCATCATGACCATCATCGTCACCATTATCACCATCATCATCGCCATCTTCAGCATCATCAACACCTTCATCATCATCATCAACACCATCACCATCACCATCATCATCACCATCCTAGCGATCATCATTATGATGATGATTATCATCATCAATCATCATCATAATCATCCTCATCCTTATTCTCATCATGATAGTCAACATCATCATCCTAATGATCAACATCATCACCACCACCACCATCATCATCATCATCATCAGCATCATCATCCCGGTAATCAACATCACCCATAATCATCGTCATCCTCATCATCATCATCGTCATACCATCATCATCATCGTTATCGTCATCACTATCATCATCATATGCATTATCACCATCACCCTCATCATCATCACCATCTTCGTCGTCAACATCCTCATCATCATCGAATTCGTCATCACCAATCTGATGCTCATCATCATGTATCATCATCATTCAGATTTATCCTCATCCTGATCATCATCATCAAAACCATCATCATCCTAGCGATCATCATCAGCATCATCATCATCATCATCAGCAGCATCATCCTGATGATGATCATGACCATCGTCAATGACCATAATCATAATCGCCATCATCATCATCATCAGAATCCTCAGCACCATCATTATCATGATCATTCTCATCATTCTCATCATTCTCATCATTCTCATCATCATCACCATGACCATCAACATTATCATCCTCATCATCGTCCTCATGACCAGCATCATCATAAACATCATCATCACCATCATCAGCATCCTGAACATCCTCATCATCATCCTGACCATCATCATCATCTCCATCCTGGTGATCAGCATTCTGATAATCACCATCATCATCATCAGCCTTATTATCATCCTGATAATCATGATCATCATAATCATCAGAATCATCATCATCATCATCATCATCCTAATCATCATGATCATCATCCTCCTCATGATCATGACCATCACCGATGATCATAAGCATCACCATCACCATCACCATCATAATCATCATGATCACCATCATCACCAATCATCACCACCCTCATCATCAGCAGCAGCATCATCATAATCATCATGATAATCCTGCTGACCATCTTGGTCCTGGTGGTCATCATCATTATGGTGATCATCATCACCACTGATCATCACCATCATCATCGTCATCCTTATCCTCATCCTCATCCTCACCGTCATCATCCTGGTGATGATGACCATCATGATCATCAATCATCATCCTCCACATCACCATCGTAGTCATCGTCGTCATCCTGATGACCATCGTCATCGATCATCATCATCACATTCAGCATCATCATCGTCAACACCATCATCATCATCACCATCCTCATCGTCATCATCATCACCATCAGCATCACCATCATCCTGATGACTATCACCATCACCAATCATCAGCATTTTCATCATCATAATCACCATCACCATCATCATCCGCATCATCGCCATGATCATTATCATCTGCATTACCATATTCATCATCATCCTGATGAGCACCATCACCATCAATCACCATCATCATCCTCATATCATCACCATCACCAATCAGCATCGTCGTCATCATCATCTTTATCCTTACCCCCATCCTGATATGTATCAGCAGTTCAACGTCCATTATGACCAGCAATCGTCATCATCATCATCATTGTCATCCTCATCCACATCCTCATCCTCATCTTCATCCTCATTACAATTACCATCACCATCACCATCGCCACCATAATAATCATCCTCATCATCATCATCATCATCATCATCATCTCCATCACCATCATCATCAACATCATCAGCATCATCATCAGCATAATCATCAATGTGATCATCATTATCATCCTGATCATAATCCTCATCCTCATCAAAATCACCATCACCATGACCAACACCATCATCATCATCATCATCATCATCATCATCATCATCATAACCATCATCATCATCATCATCATCATTATCATTATCCTCATCATCGTCGCCATCCTCATCACCATTACAATCACCATCACCATCACCATCGCCACCATAATGATCATCCTCATCATCATTACCATCTTCCTCATCATCATCACCATCACAATCAGCATCAGCATCATCATTATCCTCATCATCATTATCCTCATCATCAATACGATCACCATCCCCGTCACAGCATCATCATCATCCGGATGACCATCAGCATCACCATCATCATCATCATCAACATCATCATCATCACCATCATCATCGTCACCATGATCATTACCGTATTCATCATCACCACCATCATCAATTACCATCATCATGATGATCATCAACATCAAAAATCATCTTTACCATCATCATCCGCATCCTCATCTTCCCCATCCTCATCATCATCACCCTGATGATCACCGTTAATCATCATCACCCTCACCATAGTCATCGTCATCATCCTGCTTATGTTCATCCTCAACCTCATCCTCATCACCATCACCAGCACGATCATCATCATCAGCATCACCATCACCATCCTCATAATCAATATTAGTATCATCATCATCTTCAACATGAGCATCATCATCATCCTAATGATCATCATCATCATCCTGATGATCATCATCATCCTCATCCTCTTCACCATCACCATCACCAACACCATCAGTATCATCATCCTTATCCTCATCCTCATCCTCATCACCATCACAATCACCATCATAATCACCATCATCATTAACCATCACCATCATCATTATCATAACCATCACCATCATCATTATCATCATCATCGTCATCATCCTGGTGATGATTATAATCCATCACCATTATCATCATCATCATCATCATCATCATCATCATCATCATCTTTATTCGCATCCTTATCCTCATCCTTAGCTCCATCACCACAACCATCACAATCAGAATCATCATATTCATCATCATCCTCATCCTAATCCTCATCACCATCACCATCACTATCATCATCATTATCATCACCATTGGTCATTACCATCATCGTACTGATGGTCATCATCAGCAGAAAATCATCATCACCATCCGCATCATCATCATCATTATCATCCGCATCCTGATCATAATCATCATCATCAACATCATCATTATCATCCGGATGATCATCATCATCATCATCATCATCCTCAATCGTCATCATCATCACCATCATCATAGTCGTTTTCATCCTCGTCCGCATCCTCATCCTCATCACCATCACCATCATCAGCAGCATCATCCTCAGAATCGTAATCCTCCTCATCATCACCCTCAGCATCCGCATCTTCATCATCCTGATGATGAAGATCATCATCATCATAATGATCATCATCATCCTCATCATCATAACCATCACCATCACCATCACCATCACAATCACCATCATCATCATCATCATCATCATCAGCATCCTTGTCCTCGTCCTCATCATCACCACCATTACCATCACCATCACCATCACCATCACCATCACCATCATCATCACCATCTGCATCGTCATCCTTCCCACCATCATCATCATCATCATCATCATCATCATCATCATAACAATCACCATCATCATCATCATCATCATCATCATCATCATCATCATCATCCTGATCATCATCATCATGAACATCATCATCAATCATCATCATCCTCATCCTTATCCTCAGCGTCATCATCATCATCATCATCATCATCATCATCATCATCATCATCATCATCATCATCATCATCATCATCATTATGATGATCATTACCACCTATCATCATCAGCATCATCATAGTCATAATCATCCTCCCCGTCCTCATCCTCATCCTCATCCTCAGCACCATCACCATCACAATCATCATCATCAACCTCATCACCATCATCATCCTCATCATCATCATGATCATCAGCATCACCATCATCATCTTGATGATCGTCGTCATCATCCTCATCATCACCACCACCACCATCACCATCACCAACACCACTATCATCATCATCATCGACATCATCCTTATCCTCGTCCTCATCCTCATTACCATCACCAACACCATCACCATCATCATCCTCATCATCATCAACATCATCATTATCGTCATTCTAACAGTCACCATCATCATCATCATCATCATCATTAACAGCATCAGCTTCATTATCATCCTGATGATCATTATCAACAATCACCACCATCATCGTCATCATCATCCTTATCCTCATCCTCATCCTCATCCTTAGCATCATCACCAACACCATCACCATCATCATCAGCATCCTGATCCTCATCCTCATCATCATCATCACCATCACCGTCACCATGATCATCGTCATCATCATCCTCATCGTCATCATCATCATCATAATCATCATCATCATCATCATCAGCATCATCATCATCATCATTATCATCTTCATCATCATCATCATCATCATCATCATCATCATCATCATCATCATCATCATCATGAGCACAAGCCCTGACCCTCTGCGCGGGCCGCGCCGCGGCCGCGGCCAGGCCCCCGCTGCGGGGGCAGGCGGGGGTCATCTCCGCAGAGGTCTGGGGCGGCACATCGATGATCCTCAGAACGCGTGTCGGCGCCAACGTTGCGGGGCGGGGATCTGTAGATTTCCACCTCTTGGAGAACCGACGTCATGGGTCCCCAGCGAGCGATGAATATGGATGTATTCGCGCCTCGGGGGGCTCGAATATCCATATGCACCGCCTGCCGAGGTCCCCGAAGATGGATCCCCCAGGCGGTGGTCAATGGGTCAACCCCCCGCCTCAGAAACGTATGCTTGTCCACCGAAGCTCTTCCATACGACGCAGGCGAACTACTGAGGGCCGACACAGACTACGCGGCATCGGCAGAAGTCAGCGGGGTAAACGCAGACTGGGCTTACACACGTCCTGAGGATTATCGAAGCGCCGCTCCCCTGGGATCCAGGCGTTGCATATTGTCCACACTGGGCGTTCTCGCCCAGCTTTGGGCCTCGGGGCCCTCACAGATCGCTCCAGCTCGGAAAAGCCGCCGAAAGATGGGGTCGAGGGATCTGGTCGCGATTTCTCACGATGCTGCATTATTTTGCGACGTCGGACCTCCAGGTCCGACGATAGGATTTCTTCAGTCCCAGCGTTTTTCCTCGAACCTGGGCCTCCAGGGCCCGTTCTCGGGCTGAGGGGGTCATCAAAAACTGACTTGGGACGCAGAAGGAACCCCCAGGGGGGATCGGAAGCTCTGGGGCCGCGGGCTGAGAAATCGTATCCCGAGGACGTCCGGGCACGACATCGGGACACAGCCAGAGCGCCGAACGAGGGACGGAGGGCCTGCTTTTGCTACGGCGGGCCTCGGCCTCGCTGGGGCTCCTGGCCCGCATCGGAGGAGCAACCCCCGTCGGGGGTTGCTGGAGGTGCCCCATGGCCCGAGGTGCCCCCAGCTTCTCGCTCCATTCTGGAGCCCCTGGGGCCCCCCCGGGCCTCGCGCGGCGTGCTCATGGAGGCCGTGGGGGCCTCCCGGAGATCCTGGGGCCACCTTGGGCCAGGGACACTTCTCGCAACACCTGGCTCCCCGGCCCAAAGCGGCCCGTGCTTCAGGGTCTTGGGACGCTCGGAGGTCCGCGCGGGTCCTGCCCTCGGATCGGCGCTCCAGGGCCCCCCCCCCCCAGAGCGGGGCCGCTGGCGCCAGCCCCCCTGGCACGCTGCGGGCCAAGAAGGAGTCGCGCAGACCCCCGAAAGTGCAATGCTCATGTCGTTTGATTCTTGGCTTACTGCTGCTGGGCCTACGTTCTGCGACCACCACCTGAGGCCAGGTGCTGATGACCTCTGGTGGCGCTCCACTGTGCAAGACGCCGACCGCGCCCAGCAGACCACCACTCTTAAGCCAGAGCGTTGGGTCTGGCGCCGATGGGTCCGCGGGGACGGGTGCAATGGCACTTGCGGTAGGTGGCACCTGGATGTAAAATGGGTGCGCGCTGAGTACAATAGTCGCGCGCGGATGCATTTGCGCATGTTCTTCACATGCACTCGTGCAAGAGTTCGCACCTCCCCGAACAGTCTACGATTAAACGATCGATTACACCTCCCACCACTGACCCATCTGCACCAGACCGACTACTCCAGCTTAGACCACTACCATCGGTCGGCCGACCCTGGCCCATCCTGGTGGCAAATCAAAACAGGCCCACGACTTCATCCCCGAGATCCAGAAGAGCCGTGGGCCCCGTGGCCGCCCGCCGGGCCCTGGACCCCGGGCGAGCCCCTGCCGCCGACCTGGGAGGACGAAAAGGTACCGATACCGCTGCCACTCAACGGACCTTCCCTGAGACCCCGGCGCCTGGGCGCTTTCGCCTGGTTTCGGGCCCCGGGGCCCTCACATAATTATCGTCCCGGCTTGAGAAATGCCGTTGCAGCACAGAGTCCAGGGGATCTGGCCGTGATTCTTGGCACAATGCTGCAACTTTCCGCAGCGCTGGATCTCAAAATCTCCAGAAATGTGGCCTGACCAAAACTTCGAGGCGAATCCATGCAGCCTGGCGACGACGGCTCCCCAAGACGAGCAGCGGTATCGGTACGTCTTCCTCCGCTGCCGACCGGGCCCCTCTCGCCCCTGGGGCCCTGCAGCCCCGGCTGCCCGCGAGGCCCCGGCAGCCCCAGCTCGCCAGGGTCGCCTGCGGGCCCCGCCTCGCCCTGCGGCCCGCGCGGCCCCTGCACCCCGGCGGGGCCGGGCACGCCGGGGGCCCCCTGCGGCCCGCGCGCGCCCTCGGGCCCGGGCGGGCCGCGAGGGCCAGCCTCTCCCGGCCGCCCCTCTGCCCCCGGCTCGCCTCGCGGCCCAGTGGCGCCTGTTGGCCCTGGCGGCCCGGGCACCCCGGGCGGCCCCGGTGGGCCGTGCTCGCCGCGCGCCCCGCGCACTCCGTCGGAGCCCTGCGGCCCTGCAGGGCCTTCGGGGCCCTGCCTGCCCGGCTCGCCGGGGGGGCCCTCGGGCCCCTCACGGCCCTGCGGCCCGCGCTTGCCCTCGGGCCCCTGCAGCCCTGGGGGTCCGGGCGGGCCCTGCAAGCCCTTAGGCCCAGGAGGGCCCTGGGCGCCGGGCGGCCCCGCAGGCCCCGGTGGCCCAGGCACCTGCGCCTTCACCTGCTCGATCAGGGCCTCCACGAGGCCGGCCAGGCCCAGGTTGCTCCGCTCCAGGCTGTCCACCCGGGCGACCAGGTCGGCCAGGAAGCTGCCGAGCCCGTCCAGCGCAGGCTCGGTGGGGAGCCCGCCGTGGTGCCGCGGCATGTCCTGAGCCTCGTACAGCAGCTCGGCCCGCACGTCCTCCTCCAGCCCCGCGGCCTGTGGCGCGGGCCACTCCTCGGAGACGGTGCCTGGCTGCCAGGCGACCTTCAGGCGGAGGCCCCCGCGCTCACCCGAGGCCTCGCCGCTCCACGACCTGCCAGAGCCCCCTCCCCGCTCGGCGGCGCCCACGGCCTCAGCGCCTGGGGTTACCGCGGCGTCGGCCACGGCACACGCGTCCCCAGACCCCCGACGTCGTGATTTGTGTCACCGCGTCGACTCCCCAGAGGTCTGGACCCCTTCCACAGGACAAGGTTTTCGTCCCGAGCAATCACTTGACGGACCCAGGGCTCAACGAGGCGCTCTGCAGAGGCCGAAGACGGCATTAAAAAATCGCCTGCCGTGATTATTTCACGGCGCGAGGGGGTCTGAGCCTGGCCACAGCGAGGCGCGCGCGGCGGGCGGGTCCGCCCACGGGTTGGGCAGCGCGGAGTAGTCCTCCGCCGAGGAGCTGGCCGCCGTGGGGCTGCCAGCCGCGGCCGTGTAGCTGCGTGCGGGGCTGGCCTTCTGCGTGGGCCTTGCGGCGGCCGCGCCTGGTCCCCCGCTGCGGGGGCTGGCGGGGGCCATTTCCCCAGAAGGCTGAGGCAGCACACCGAGGATCCTCAGAACGCGCGTTAGCGCCAACGTGCGCTTGACCCCCGCAATCCTCCAATACAACGCAGGCGAACGAACGAGGTCCAACACAAGGCGCACGGCATCGGCACTTGAGCGGGGTGACACACACGCTGGGCTGGTGCACGTCCTGAAGATCATCGAAGCGCAGCTACCCTGACATCTGAGCATTGCAGTTTTTTCCGCACCGCGCGCTTTCGCCGTGTTTCGGGCCCCGGGGCCCTCACAGATCGATAGGGCTCGAAGAATGGCGCAGAAAGATGGGGTCAAGGGCTCCGATCGCGATTATCCGCGTTGCCATTTTTTCGCAACGTCGGATCTCAGGCCAGCGCCGCGGCGTCTTGAGCCAACGCCTACGGCCTACGGGCCTGGTCATCCGCCAACGCTTTTTCTTGTCCGCGGACGCATGCGAACACGCGTCGGTCGAGCAGGCGGCGGGCGCACCGAAGCGACGTGAGGCACAAAACCGCGGAGGACTGGAGAGGCGGAGAAGAAGGAGGCCAGTCAGAACATGTATCAGGTGTTGCTAGAAGTGCCACTGGCCCAAAGTGCCCCCAGCTTTTCGCTCCGTTTTGGAGCCCCTGGGGCCCTCTGGGCCTCGTGAGGGGTGCCCTGGAGGCCGCCTGGGCCACCCTGAGAATCCTGGGGGTACCTTGGGCCAGGGGTACTTCTAGCAACACCCGAATGCAGTTTTTCACAGCCGTGCCGGAGCCGTGCAGCCACGTGGAGCCCACGTAAAGCAAGGCCATCCGCCTGCACAGCTCGAAGGACGGGTCTCCTCACAGCGGCCGCGGAGGATCTGGCCTCCTGGGCCCCTGCCGCCCGATGCTCTGGCGCCGCGCTCTCGGCCGCGGCAGCGGGGGGCAGGGGCACAATAAAACATGCACATGCCGATTTGTCGGTCGTGCTGGCTGCTCGAGCTTCTGGTTTTTCACAGCGGATGCGGCCGCGATGGAGCTCGCCGAGGCTAATTTCCCAGCGCGTCTCCAAGGCCGCGCCGGAGCGCGGGCGTCTCAGTGCAGGTCGGTGACTCAGGCGGGCGAGCTGCCATAATGACGTCGACAACGGCGGCAGTGATGATGATGGTTGCGATGGAAGTCGAGATCATAGCGGTGACGACGGCAAGGCCAATGACGGCGCCGACGACGACGACGATGATGATGATGATGCTGATGATGGTGACGATGATGATGGTGATGATGATAATGATGATGCTGATGATGATGGTGATGATGATGATCATAATCATGACGATAATGATCATGGTGATTATCATGATGAGGATGGTGATGATGACGATGATGGTGATGGTGATCACGATGTTGCTGATGATGATGAAGATTATTATGATGATGATGGTGATGAGGATGATGCTGATGATGATAATGATGATGATGATGGTGATGAGGATGATGCTGATGATGATAATGATGATGATGATGATGATGATGATGATGATGATGATGATGATGATGATGCTGATGTGAATGCGTCGGTAGTGAAGGTGATTGTGCTGATGATGGGGGCAATGGCGGCGATTGGCGATGACGATAACGGCGGGGACTCGACGGCGCAGACGAAGGTGATGAAGAGATGCGCGCGCGCACGAGATCAAGAAATCCCACCTGCCCTCCGGGCGTAGGTGATTTGCGGAATTTCCTCTTCCACCCCTCCCTCTTCCCCTTCGGGAAGGGGTTTACTCCTCCCCCTTACCCCCTCCCCTGGACCTGGAGGGGTGCGGTCGCGAGGCGCTGGAGCGTCCAAGATGGCCAAAGATGGCTCCAAGAGGGCCTCAGAGAGCCCAGGATGACCTCCAAGATGGCTCAAGAGTGTGATGCCTCAAGATGGCTCCCAACATGCTCCGAAAGGCCCCAAGACCGCCACAAACCAGGCTCCAAGTAGCCACGGAGCCCCCAAAGGAGGAAGCCAAGATGTCAAAAGTCTTCAAAAACCTGAGGGGGAATCGATGAATTTGGCCTTCTCACCTTTTTCGCTTCCGGTGGCTTTCCGAAGCCTCAAAACAACTCCAAGAGGGCCCATGAGGGCCATAAGAGAAGCCCAAGAGAGCCCCAAGACGGTCCCAAGAGCGCCCAAGAGCGGCCCAAGAGGGGCCCAAGAGGCGATTGTAGAGGCCCCCGAGAGGGGGCAAATTAAGGACCCCCCGTTTTTGGATCGATGCTACCCAAGATGGCCCCAAGAGCGCCCCCATAGATCCCAAGAGCGCCCCAAGAAGGCCCCACGATGCGCCCAGACGGGCGCAGAAGAGATATCCCAAGAGGCCCCGAGGAGCATCCAAGAGACCTCTAGCCCTCTTGCTTGCCCTCCTCATCCTGGCCCCCCTTCCTCCTCATGTTCCTTTTCTCTCTCCTCCGCATCATCATCATCAAAATCATTGTTCGTCTCATGACTCCCTCATCCATCCAGCCTTCTCCTTTCCCTCTTCCCTCCTTCGCACGGTTTGGCCGTCCACCTCTTTGTTCCCGTACTTCCCTGGTCACCTCCATTCGCCTGGATATCGTTTCTGGATGGACTGGTGGGGATACTTTCTGGCACGCGGGCGCGCGAAGCAAGTCGAACGCCGAGCACGCTAGGACGGGCCGCGCCGTAGCGACGGAAAAAAACAGAAACTGGCTGGCGGGGATACTTTTTTGTTCGCGAGCGCAAACGGGAGGGCCGCGCGCCGTCAGGAAGATGCCAAAGAGCAAAGACCTACACTACAGCGGCCACGAACGAGGCCAAGCGCGTGCAGCGAGCAAGCAGCCGAAAATTGCAAGCTACGCACCTGGGCTCAACCGCCGCTCAGAAGTCGAGGGCAACCGAGCCAAAGTGGCGATCGGCTCGACATCGCCCAAGTGCGAAGACGTCACCCTCGACGAATTTCTCCTCAGCTACGACACGGCATGTGCATAATGTGAAGCCAGAACACCACCGCAGTCGTCAGGAACGGTATCGCGAGACCACATCACGTAGGCGGGCGAACTTCCAAATAAGTGCCAACAGGAATCCTGCATCCGGAGGAACCCCAATCGGGGATGCGTGTCGCCCGAGCAAGAGACGCACCACGGACCATGGCCCCCGAGCGGAACCAGCGTAGAGCGACGGGTGCCGAGGCCACGGTTGCACTAAATGGCTGGTGGGGGCATTTTTTTTGTTGCGGCCGCAAGCGAAGAGCGCAAGCGGCGAACAGGGAGTCCGGGCCGACGGGCAAACCTAATTAGCTGCTGGGCGCAGCACGAGCCGGCCGGGCCAGCTCACAAAAGCAGCAGCTGGGGCAGCGGCGGCGGGGGGCTGGCTGGCTGAACTGCAACGCCCAGGGAAGCTCGGGCATCGTGCAGCCCTGCGGCAAAATGGCCAGGAATTCTGTATTACGCGGCGTGGCGTCAGTCCACTCCGGTGGAGGTGCATGTTGGCCCAGGTGGGATAACCTGCACGCGCGATCCTCACAGACACGGTGGTGGGGAAAGGCTAGGTACACACTGGTCGAGTCGCCAGGGGGGCGCCAAGGGCCAGGGCCGCGTCGACGGCGTAGACCAGCCAGGTCGGGTGGGCCAGGGCCGCGTCGACGGCGTAGACCTGCCTGGTTGGCTGGGACGGAACCCTGGTGGAGATACTTTTTTGATTCGCGGCCCGCAAGGAGAAGTCCAGAGGGCGGCATGACCGAGGCTGGGGCACAGCGACAGATAATCGGCGCGACACCGCGCAGAGTGCACCTGCAGATAAACTGGAAAGAGGCGGCCACGGGTCAACCCGCAGGTGGGGGCGAACCGAAGCCCTGCCGAAAGCGCGCGGACCCAAAAGTCGCTGAGCGTGTGCCAGCAGAAGAGGGCAACCGCGACTGAGCAGGTGGGACCAGGCCGGACCCGCAGGTGGAGCACCGACCGGCGGGCTGAAAGGGGGGGAGGCAGGGAGGCGCGGGAAGAGAGAGAGAGAGAGAGAGAGAGAGAGAGAGAGAGAGAGAGAGAGAGAGAGAGAGAGAGAGAGCACAATCTAAGGGGAAGCGTGGCGGATCCACTCACTTGTCACCCGGTGCGTGAGCGTCAGCGTAAACGCCGGCCACACACAAGCCACCGATGGGGGGTCAGGCCAGTGAGCATACTTCACGAACTGGCAAGAGGAAGGGCCTGCAGCCAGTGCCTCTGCATCACGGCACGCACTCCCAACAAAGCCTGGGTGGGGTTATTTCAGCCGACCGCAGGCGAGGGCGCCCACGGGGGCCGCGGGTACCATGGCGGCGTGGTGCCTCTGCCCCCAGGAGGCACAAGCTGTGGCCAGAGCCACCGGCTAGCTCAGACGGCAAGGCGGTGCCTTCAGCCGGTCGACCCTGCCCGTCTCGGGCCGGCAAAGCGGCCAAAACCGTGGGCGGCATACATCGGCCGACCGCACGGGCTACACGCCCATGTGAATGGGGGTCAAAAGTGGTAGTCGCTCCAGAGAGCGACGACGTGGAAGCCACTGCGCATTGCTGGACTCCAAAGGATGGGGCAC